TGAGGTAAAACTTTTTAACCGATGACGTTAATTGAAAATCACCTTCGGTTTTGTATTTTATTGTTCCGAGTGGAGAAACGCGCACGGCCACATTTTTGAGAATTAAATGTGCAGTGCATCGATGTTTCGGAGAGTGCTTTTGATAACACTCTCTCGTCGCCAAACGTTCGCCGTTTGGCGTCAAACGCAAACATTCAATTTTGGTTGTTAACTTGATCTTTAATATAATCCCCCTCTAATCTTCCTATAATCATGCGGATGACGTGAGATCGATAACAGATCATGTGGCCATTTTTGGCGCTAAATATACGCAGGCATCGGCAGCATTTCACGGCGAGAGGATCTTCCTCTGCGCGACGAGTGTGCGACGAGTCTCCGATACTAGAGTACCAGAGTGCCGTCGCTGACTGCCGCCTTCAAGAATGGACATACGGAATTACGGAGTCCATCGTGCAACCTCTCATTTCCCTCCTACTGCAATCAGCGGCATTTAAGCCTGGCTTTCGAGCGTTTAAGCATTTAGCCGCTTCCGCCATATCTCGCGGTTGTCTTGTACCGGGCTTGTACTTTTTTCGCGGAACCCGGATGGCTCTCCCTCGTTTGGTTCCCAGAAGAACGGACGTGCCGATAGAACTCGAGTTCTCGTGGTGTGTCACCGAGCAGAATTGTGCCAGTTACCGTTCATTCTAAGCCGCCTTATCATCGGGTAATTCAGATACAGACTAATAAGCGATACGCGAGAACCGTTTAAAAACGCCGAATTCTTCGTTAATAGAAATCGAAGCTGAAGTAGATAATGATATGTGCAAAAGGGTCCTCTCCAGCTCTTTTTTTCTTTTCCTTATCGAGGACGTGTCAATGATAAGATCTGCAAGCCAACAAACTCCAAATCTTTCTAAACATTATCCTTAGATAAAAATAAACGAGAGAATTCCAGCACACTTTGTATAAGTTTCATATGTCTCGCGCAAGTTTTTAGTTTATAATAATAATAATAATAATAATAAAAATAATAATAATCATGATGATTATTTACTTGGTCCGAAATAGCAATCGATATCTCTGGCAAAGATATAATTTTGCAAACAGAACGCAACAGAACGACATATGAAAAGCGAAGATGCAGAATGTACGAGGAAGAAGGTAAAGTATTGTAATGTTTCAGGGCTGTGAACCATCGAGCACGGTACCAATACTTTCCGAATGAGAACCTGGGCACTCTCTCTCTCTATCTATCTATCTATCTATCTATCTCTGTTTCTATCTCTGTCTCGGTTCGAGGTTCGCGAGTCCTTCGCGTGTGCGATCGCTCCCCTTTCGATATTGCGATAACGCAATCGGCGATCCGCGGCCGTTTCTTCCCCCCGTGGAAGTAGGCTATCTATCCTATCCATCAGCCAACGGTGGAATAATTTCACACCTGGGTACCGCGCAAGGCGCGTCGACGCGAGAAAGGTCAGCCGGATATCGGCGGGTTTCGGAATGTATCGAGAGAGAACGATTATCGGCTCGCTCTCTCACCGTCCGATTCGAGCGCGCTATCGCGCCGGATTTCTTTTTTCCTTTTGGCAATCGGCCGATACATACCGCAAATATCGTGAAACGGGTGTCGCGAAATGCGACGTTGACACGTTCCAAATGTCACGTTGCTTTCGATTTCCCGCCTGTCGCGGCGAGCGCACGCGCGTCGCGAGGAAAACTGCACCGACGACGCGAAAAGTCAGTCGGATGTTCACGAGAGTTTCGGAATATGTATCATTAACTGGAAGCGAAATCGCTGCGTCGTTAGTCGGGCAATTTTTTTCTTTACCGTGTCCGACGCATTGCGAAACGCGAGAAATCGCGGCGGATACGCGGATGAATAAAAATATTTATTTGCTCAACACTCGACGCGCGCGCGCGTACGAGCCGTCAGCGAGCGTTGTCAGCGAGCCGTTGTATTTTTTGCACAGATCATTCATAAGACTCCGGTCACGGATTAACCCGCGCTTTGAATGCCCCACGTTATCGCGATGAAGGCCTCCGCCTTGATCGTTCATTTCGAAAGAACGCGTCTAATATATTTCGATTCGAGACACGAAAACGTCGTTAAGTTTCTTTGCGCGCACATTGTACTAATGAGATGCGTTCGCCCAACGCGGATGGCGATAATGAATTATCTTGGTATAAGCAGCCTTGGAATAAAAATGTAATTATGTCTGCCAACGCGCGCATCCTCAGATAGAAAACGGGATGAGTTATGATCGGCAGTATCGTCGGCGATGAGACACGATCAGGTATTCCAGGTAAAACAAGCGTCGCGCGAACACACGATATAGTATACACACGTAAGCGATGTTGACGATCGAGAGCTTTCAAGGGTTTCGCAATGCGCACTTACTTAATGCGAATGCACGCGCAAACTTCGCGAACTTCCCCGGCCGTTCTTGCGCAACGATCCCGCGAACGAGCAGTTCTTTTCTGCGTGCTCAAATTCTTCGCGTGTTTCTCCGCCGCAACGTAAAAACCTAAGGCGTCGCTGGTAACTCCGAATGCAACCTGCACTCATCTGCATTCCGCTGCTGACGACGGAACGGAGAGAGAAAAAGAAAGAGAGAGAGAGAGAGAGAAACACATGAGCGTAAATACATGAGCGTAAACCAACGTAAAATGCGGTCTACGGAATTTTTAAGCCCACCGCCCTATATTTCCGCCTCGATTGTTCCTGATTTGCGAAACTCGTTTGACTTATTCGTGAAAAAAGGAAGACATGTTCGCGAAAGGGAATTTCGACGGAACACGAAATAACGTGGAACGTGCGAGACGCAGAATGCAAATTCTTATCCAAGACGTTCGTTAGATGTTATTGAATGACGTTGTGATAAAAATTTGCAGAAATCAAAGTATAAGAGAAATAATTATCAGAGATCGAGTGTCGCGGATAAATAATCTAAAATGAACAAAAATTACTTGGATAAAAGAATTTGAAAGCAAATGCAAGGAGAAGTATCGTGAAGAAAGATAAATATCGCAATCTCAAAAGATACATTGCTAATTATAACAAATATTTGATAAAGCGAAGGGCAACATCCATCGTAGATGCACAAATATCTACAACCACGAGACATAAGAACGGCTTGAGACGGTTCTAAATCGTCGACCATGGAAAGTTTCAATTGCAAAACTCGCCGGAAATAAATCTTATCGCGATCGGTCTCGACATTAGCATACGCGATTTATTTTATCGAGACAGGAAAGTCGCTATATTTGTATTCGCACGCTATTTCGCAGACATGTATACATTGATTCCCTGACACACTATGAATTTTATCTTGAAAAGCTCTGCGTAACTTGTATAAATTTTAGTGCAACGGTAACTATGTCCATTGGGTGGTTTTGATTAATGGACGCCTCAAACGATATATTATTAATCAATTATTTTCAGAGAATAATATTCGCAAATGGATATCCATTAAAGATCATTCTCAATTTCCTGTTCATTGGCAAGTCGTAATCGACTTTTAATCGAGTTGAATGCGAACTGTTCATAATCGAAACTATTATAGTTTTAATTGGTCGAAAGGTAATTATAGATATAATATCAATCGGATATATCGGCCTCGTATGTTTAGGTCACATTTAGGAAATGCCGATCCCATTGTAAGAATAACTAATTATTCATACTCAAAATTATAGCAGAACGATTTTTTCTCCGGATCCGTGAAATCTTTTAAGTGTACTGCTACGTTTATTATTACTCATAATTCTAAATAATTATATATCACTTTTACTCTCTTTTCACTCATTCGTAGTGCGTATGTAAATATGTGTGTGCGTGCGTGCGTGCGTGCGTGCGTGCGTGCGTGTGTGTGTGTGTGTGTGTGTGTGTGTGTGTACACACATAATGATGAAATAATTGTACTAGTATAACACGACATATTTTATATAAAAGAATACGTTCCGTTATATAAATAAATAAATACATATGCATTGCAAAATATTTTAAATTTTCCTTTCTACACTTAAGCTTCACCTCGTGAACTAACTCAGAACCAAACACGAGTAAAATCTAGCGAAAAATGGTAACGAATACTTTCGAAGCAATCTGAGTTACATGGATCGAGAACGATATAGTCAGGTCAGTCCGTGAGATCACGTGTGCTTTTGAAGGACTTGTTTGCCCTAAAGTAGGGCAAACAGAACACAATTTACTTTCCCAATCGATGGCATCGTCTCTTTTTTGTCATCAACAATCTTATTGAAAATCCTTCACTTTCTAATCGTTTCGAAAATATTAATCAAAAAGAAAGTGTTCATAGTGAATACGCATGAACTCGTAGACTGACCTGCTACTTTTGAGCTTCGCTCTCGGACGCGCAAGGGACCGAGGCTCTCGACACACCGAACCCCTGAAAGATTCATCATGTGGGACCATCCACGAAGAGAGACGTCTCCGAGGATTTCGGAGTTGGTCCGATCGACCGGCGCGATCGAGCGGCGGCCTGGAGCTCTCAGCTCACCCGTTACTCGTCCAGCACGCTCTCCGGATGGGAAGGTGAGGAGGAGGAGAACAAGGAGGAGGAAGAGGAGATGGAGGAGGAGAAGAACGAGGAGAAGAAGGAGGAGAGGGTCGAGGAACAGGGAATAAGAAAGAGAGAGAAAGAGAGAGAGAGAGAGAGAGGGAGAGAGAAAGAGAGAGAGGCAGAAACGTGGAGAGGCTGTGCGAGGCACAGGTAAAACAAAAAGTCGGGAAAAAATTGAAAACCAGTCTTATGCAGCCGGTAGTCCGGACTACCCGACCGTCAGCGGACTCGTTCTCTCTCTTTCTCTCTCTCTCACTCTGCGATTCCCACCCCTTGCCCCCCCCCCCCTTCACTCCATCCTTCTCTCGTTTCATCGCAGTCGTTCCCTCGGTTCGGTTTCTCTCTCGCTCTACTCTTCTCCACCTCCACCGCGAGAGATCCGCGACGGTACAACCACCACCACCAACATCACCGCGAGAACGCTGCCGCCGTCGCCACCACCTCCTTTTCCTCCTCTTCCTCCTCTACCTTCACCTCCTCCTTCTCCTCCTCCTCCTTCCGTTTCTGCGGTCCTCACGGTCCACGCTCTTCCTTAATTCAGTCCAATGAGAGCCGTTCTTCGATTCGTCACACCCGCCGACGAATCTCTATTCCGTCTGTTTTTCTTTCTCTATCCTTATACCTATCTCTCTCTCTCTCTCTCTTTCTCTCTCTTTATTGTCCACCCTTCTCATCTCTCTCTGTCTCTAATTTTCTCCCTCGCGACGGAGGGGCGGATAAATCGCCCGTCGATTTTCGAAAAAGCCAGACGTTTCGAGTGCTTCTCTTCGGCTACCTGTAGAGACGCGTCCCCGCCGTCGATCTCCGAGCACGAGCGTGCGAACGAACAAGCGAGATCGCGGTCCCCACGACGCAAGTGCATCGCGATGCGTCGCAGCAACGTGGTGTCGTAACGCGCGGCGCGTGCATCCAGACGGTGCGTGACGGTGCGCGTGCGATACGCGTGCGAAATTTCGGTGCAACCCTCCCCGGATGGGAGACGCACGCGCCGGACAGGAAGAGGACCCTCGCGGATGGAGGAGAGGCTCGCCACCCCGCGAGTTTGTTTTGACGGGTCACCGTACACCGCTGCACTTGCCGCACGAGATCGCACGAGAGTCGTAAACACACACACGCGAGACTCTTGGTGCGTACTCGCGAGATAAAGGAGGAGAGAAAAGAGAGAGAGAGAGAGGGAGAGAAGGAGCGTTTGTTTATCGAGCACGTTCGAACGTCGAGCGCGCGCCTATCCGCGAGAATCGTGAGAGTGGACGACGCAGGAATCACCGGATTCAACACTGAACTTCACAGATCCACAACTTCGGCGAACTGAATCCCGCAAATCCGACGATCCTTTGCGCCTCGTCACAGGTGCGCGTTGTTCCCGATCCGGATTCACTCCCCGGTCAAGGGTTCCCCGGCGGATCCGAAGAGATATAATCGGAGCGATTAACCAGGACATCGCGCGAATGCGAGTGCGACCCTCAGACGACTGAACGACCAGGCTGAAATCGCGAGGGAACACGCTTCCTAGAGGGATAGAAGGAAGGATTTCGCCTCGGCGAGGAAACATGTCCCGCGGCGATCGCAACGCGCGAACCGGTTGCGCGCTCTTAAAATAGTTTCTCACGCGTAGGTAACTGGCGCGCACGCCGCCCCGCCGCTGGAACACGATGCCGGAGAGTGTCAGGTAAATATCGATTGACTATCGCCGTTGGATAGATAGATAGATAGATAGATTCCTCGAGAAAAAGAGAGGGGGGAGGAGAGAGAGAGAGAGAACGCGCGAGAGAGATCCGACGAGATCCGCTCGGATCCGTCGCGATCGCGATCGCGCTGGATCGTGGCGGCCAGCCGTCTCTGTGATCATGGGAAATAGCTCGGCTCCAATTAAAGAGCCCGATTTCGGACCCGTAATTGCCGCGATCTCTGGAAGTCGTTGGTACGCTGAAGAAGTTACGACAAGTAATCTCGGGATGTTTGTTCGCTCCGGAGTTATTTTGAGAAAAACTTTTAGAAGCACCCTGATGAAAGTTCCGAAGGAACTCGCTGAGAGGAGGACCTCTTAAACAGTATTTGCAATGAGAATTTAAGGGGTAAACTTTAAGCTGTAAGAAATTGACTAATCCAATCGATTATTCTTTTTACATTCGACTGTGATTGATCGCACTTTCTTGCGACTTAAGTCTTACGCCTTAAATTCTCATTGTAATCTAAACACCGTTTTAGACGGGAAGAATTGCGAAACGCAGAAATCTTTAAAAATACACACGCGTCTCTTCGAATTGCACCTCCTTCTTTATCTTCCACTCTCGCTCTCTTCCTCAGAATTTCGCCGAAAGTTCTTTAACGAGAAGGGAGTTATTTTCGATGAGAGGCGACATAGGGAACAAAGCGTGACGCGATCGATCTATTTGCAACGCGGTTTCGAGAAATCGCGATACCTCAAGATCGACGAGATTGCGGTTTATAATAGTGATACGTCTTACTACCGAGCCCGCGTCGTAATTGCTTATCGATCCGCGTCAATTAAAATCCTTGCTCATCGGTCGCGCTCGGTCGTATTTTTGCGAGAGCGCGCAATCTCACGCGCGCAACCTCGAACGGAATTATTCTCAATGGCGATCTATATTCTCCGCAGCGGTCAATGCACACTTTTTCATTGCGGCTTCCAGTTCGCGGGAAAGCAAACCGCAAGCGCGCAAATGCTGGCGTGGTTCGTCGTCAATCGCCAGCGCGACGATCGATCGTGCGTGTTACGGCACGCGCAAATCAACCTTTCCGGGTATAAAGGCCGTCCCATCGAACGCTAACTCAATTAGCACCTGAACGCAACGTCGGAACTGCGAAGATTAAGCGGTTGGAAAAGCTGGCATTGTATACGAGACCGTTCGACACGGTCAAGTCGATCGACCATGATGAGTCTTCGATTCACAGGAAGTCGTAAATCCTGTAACCGTATCCTTATTTCGTAGACCAATTAGTATGACTGGACACGACCAAGTTTTCGATTCCGTGTTTTGTATGGAATTATTGACGTGAGAATTCGTTGTAAACAAGCAACGAACAAGGAGCGATAAACGGTAACCACAAATGGCGTTAAGCGATATGAAAATACGCACGAGAGAAATAAAATAAATGTGGTAATTAAAGATCCTAATCTTAAGGAAAGTACTAATATAGAAGTATAATAATCAAACGGGTAGATTTCATCCAAAATTACGCGCTAATTTCAAGGATTTCGCCGAAACTTCTCCGATCCACGATCTGGAGTCTCGCCTGTTGCGATATCTGAATACGAATAGCGACTTTCCCGTTAATCAATGCCTTCGATGGCGCATTTAATGTCAAACGTGACCAGTTGAATCCGACTTTTCTTTACCCATCATCATCATTATCATCACCAAGATATTCAATCTTATCGCGAACTGCCGCATCGCGACGTAGTTGCGTTGAAACGCTAAATGCGCGTCGCGAGCGCGGGCTGTTCGATGGCGAACCGCGAAGGCTCGATTTCGCGAGCGTGCCGAGCGCGTGCTCGGTAATTCCTGCAATAACCGAAAATAATAATACCGCAGACGGCACCGTAAATGGGAGTGATAGCGCAATAACGGCGCGCGATGCCAATTGACAGCGCGATGCTTCGATAACGCGGATATTTACGCACGAAGGAGGTCACGATGCGACCAGCCTTCAGCGAACTGCGGACGATCGAGTTGCCGCAGCAGCGTGTCCACCGCACACAGCGTATCATGTTAAATCGACGCGGTGTCGCCTTTTAATTGGCCCTGATGTAATTTCCCGAAAAAATCAAACAAGAAGTCCGCTCAGAGGCCGATCCAAGGATCGACGAACGAAGGAAAGCGCGATCGTCCGATCGACCGCCCCTTCATCGAAAGAAGCGATATCGTCAGTCCGCGAACTATTTACATCACGGCAAATGCGATATGCAAAGGGTCGACCTTTTCGCGAAATTCGAGCGCGATATTATCAAAGTGCAGCGGCCAAGGAAGCTTGAGCGAGTCTCACCTTTCCCGAGTGATTTGCGTATCTATGCGGCTAATCGAATTTTCCACTTGAGCGAGACGCGAATACACACGCGACACGATCCCAAATATCACGACGTAGATCGTGGAATTGCGGAGTTGCTCGGGTTGTTCCGAACGAAAATTTCACACCGGGATCTCCCGAGACGCGGAGTTTAAACAAACACGGTGGTGATTAATTCTTTTTATTGCTTTTCTTCGCGGATCTGTCTTTACTTCTCGCCGGTCATCCATTTCGCTTCGGTCAAGTCGTAATTATATTTCGCGGGAGCAGGAGGATGCAATGCACACGTCTACAGGGTTACGCATCTGCGTGAGGAGGAACGTGCGAGGAGGAGGAAGGGGGCAGCCGACGGTGATAGAAAATGATTGGAAAGTCTTCCTCCGCCGTGTGCAACGTACACGAGCGGACGTAGGTAGACAGCAGGCTGTTGCTGCCTTCTACGAAGGCGATTGGCGTTTGTTATTGAAGTTATTCCATCGCCTCAGGCCACAGAACGAGAGGCGAGGCTGCGAGTGCCAGCAGCACGGTCTGTCCCTGGATGACAAACATCTACATTTCGCTCGAGCTGGAATTTTTATTAAAACCGCATTCGATCGCCGCCCGTCTCCACGTACGCGGTGTCCCGAGCGTACTCTCGCGGCTTTCGCGAGTTATACGCGCGGAACCGCGAGGAGACGAAGGTTCGCATCGCGCCGTTACGGATTCTCAAGCGCGACGGAGACGACTCGACGAATCGTCCGCGTGACGTTCGTCGACGGCCGATGGCATAATAGGACGGCACATCGCGCAGCTCGACGCTTTATTGTCTCGATAATCGCGCGCTAATGGACGCTCGTAAATTTTCCACGACGGAATCCATGAAGCGGCTTATGCCGGAGATCGTATCGCGGCAGATTTCACTAGGTGGCCGGGACGGACCCCCGACACCTGACGTCACCCGTATAGCTTGCAGGGTGCACCGAAACGTCGCAACGGACCCGATGGTATGTGGTGTGACTAGTCCCTTACTAATTCCGGTGCAGCTTAGTGCGAAAATTCTACCCTTGCCGGCTTTAAATTCCCTTATCGCAGCTGGAACTTTTCCCGGCCGCAAGCCCGTACACCTTCCGGCGCATAAAATTAAGTTTAACGACTGTCGCGCCGTCGTTCAGGTGGGATCGTTAGAATTCGACACGGTGAAAGTGCGGAGGACACCGCGTATCTCCACTTGGTCAGCCACATATATCACGGGCGTAATAGAATTAACAAGTGGCTTGTTATCGACCGAAGACATTGCTCGCGCACCGCCATACATCGTGGAGAGATTCTCGAAGCGGCAAAATCGTTTGAACAACCGTTACAGACATTTGTTCGTTTAGATCGGTTTAAACCGAAAGAACTGAGCACTTATCGCCGTGATGATTATCTGTCGACGAGTTTTCCGCTGTCGGTTCGGGGAAGATGATGATGAAGAAGAAGAAGAAGAGCATTAATAAGGTTCAGCTGCCAAAGTGTGACTGCTTACACCGATATGAAAGAGAACAGCCAGATAATTACCTGGAAGCCATCATAGAAGCGTTTCATGGTGGTCGGTGCACCTTCATTTACGGATGACCTAGGACCCTCTCCAAATTAGAGTGGGGATCCCACCTTTAAAACTGACGGCTACAGGTCGCCCTCCGTCAAAATCCTCGTGACTAGTCTAGCGAGAGCAACTGTTCTGTCATTTCTGTCATCCGGCGACGTTGAGAAGAAACAGTGAATTATGAGATTATAAATTAACGAGAAAATGATCGATAAGACATAGAATAGAAAAGTGTAGTTAATTCAGTATGTGTAACATTCGTAACATGTAAAAAGAATTATAAATATTTGTAAACTTACGTGGATACTCAGAAATTTTAAGAAGCAGGTATATACACATGGCCTGTAACACCGACAATGTGAAGTGTGCATACATCAGATACCGTGAAATAAAATAAGTAATATAATTTTGTCAATTTTATGCTCATGAGGTGCAAAAGTTGTGTGAATATTTAATCGTTTACAGTGTGTTCAGAACGGATTCTCTTCTATTCGACATTCAAGATTCGATATTACTGAAATAACAAGGTATTAAATTGTTCAGAATATTCAGCTGCTTCTCTCTCTCTCTTTCTTTTTGCCTCTCCTCTCTTTCATATATTTAGTAGTTATTAAGTCTACATCGATTTCAAATGGCAAAACGGATTAAAACCAGATCGATTAGAAACTAGAATTTTATTAAAAGTGTAAGTGAAATATTTGGAGCTTATTATCTCTGATATATTATTTAAGATATTTGGAATTCTTTACATTTAATATGTTAGAAGTTCCGAGTGATATCTAATAACATATCTAAATGTGTAAATATAACGTAAATATAAGCAAAAGAAGTTGTTATGTGTAGCTCATATTATAGTTGCTATTTTCCTAACGAAAGACACGAGAGCACGAGAGAGCGTGGAGCTCGCGACCGATAGCGTTCGATCGAATCGATCGTGCCTTTTAAATCATCGTGTGTAACAGGTCGTTGTGATGGAAATCTCTTCCAATAATAATTCACCTGAGATATCGTAGGACGCGATTATACGAGATATAAATAGAAGTTTAATTGGCACGCTCGAAAGGTGCAATTATTATACGAACGATCGTTTTGCATTCGATTAATGTCGTCTTTCTCCTTGTTCTCCCCGGTATGTCGGCAAGTTTTTAATGCTCCCGGGCATGTAATACACGTGTATACCTACTTGTACTTATTAACATAACATACAATCGTTTCGAAAGCGAAGAGTGCGATCGCTGAATTCGAAACAGTCACTTTCGTCGCGACAATTTTCTGTGCTTTAACGGTATTATATTTTTAGAGAACAATCCGCATAATTCAATGCATAGTAGAATTCATATCTTCCTTACAGAAATGCAGAAATGAAATTTACATTCTCCAATTTTTTTAGACATTAAGATGAAGCATTCTTAATTCTTAATTCTATGAAATTCTATGAAAAAAATTCAATTATTGTCGCACAGAGGTTCGCATGTGAAAAGTTCTTCAGCTTCAGCTTTGCCGCGATCCCTTGGAAAAATTGGAAATTTTTATTTATTTATTTTTTACTTTTTATTTTTATTAAATATTCAGCTTCAGGTGATAAAATTAAATTCTCTTGCATAAAGAGCAACTTGATCTTCGTAAGAACGCGACTTCCTCCGGCTGTTCGCAGTCATGACTTTAAACGAGGCCCATTTTTAAATTCTCGCCGCGACGAGTTCCGGAATTTCCGCAATTATTCCGTCAAGCAGGAAGCGAAATCACTTCCACGACAACGGCAACAAAAAGACTCCCGAATTCGCGAAGTCTTAAACGAGTTTAAACGGTGACCTCGGCGTTATCCCTGGAAGAGAGGAGCAACGTTACGCTGATTGCTCGGGTTAGTCGCGTCGCGCTGCTAGGAGAGGAGACTGAAATTTCATTCTTTTAGCACGCGTTCCCCGCTTAATGACACCCTGACTCACATACGTGAATATTCTTAATAATCTTAATCGGACCTCGTCCGCATAATCGCCGCGGCTCTCCTCGTCGCCGTAACGCCATCCCGGCAGTAACGCGAACCAAGGGACGTTATAATCGCACATATAATTATAGTGTCTCGCGTCTACGCGTAAACAATATTCGTGGTCGACGTTCTGCGTCCACATATGCGCAGCGAAAAAAAGAAAAATCATACGTGTTAAAAATCACGTGATTGACGTGCGATTCTCGGTTTAACGCTACTGTAGGGAAATTCTATACTGTCTGAAATTTATAATATATAAATTAAATCTCATATACGTGTAGAAAAATTAATTTTTGACATTTCACAGCGGACAATATATTAGATTACGTCGTGTTACAAAGTTCCTTTCCCGTCTCTTCCGAAAGATTACGATTCTGATTTACATAGACGGCTTTGTAATGATAATATATTGGACGAATGGACCAACGAATGAAGATAGTAAGTTGAGTTGGGTTTGTTTCAGCAACAAGATGGGCTTTAGCGCGTTGGTCACTGTGACCGCTGTCTGCATTATGTTTATGATTACCGCGACGAAACGTTCAGAAGCGTGCAACGAGGCAGTCTGTGCAAGTGTCGTGAGCAAGTGTATGCTCACGCAAAGCTGCAAATGTGACGTGGCTACCTGTACTTGTTGCAAGGAATGCTTCTCGTGCCTGAGCTACCTGTACGATGAATGCTGTTCATGCGTAGGTAAGCATCGCGTTCCTACACGAGCGATAATCGAACCCAAGCCGATGCTCGGAAGCTTTTATCAGTTTTACGTTATCATCAGAGAAATAGTTTGCGTAATGTTAAAAAGAAGAATGCAAAATAAAAAAATGTCAGAGTTGAATAATCATGAACAAATTGGAATAAAATATAATAAAGCAGTGTATCTGTCTATTTTCCAAGGAAAAGTAGGCGGGAAACAAAAATTAATAAAACCGAGGGAATTAGATTGCGACTCTAATCGCGCGACAACTTTAAACAGAATTGCCACACACCTCAAACTAGTTATTCTTCTCAAGATATGGTGACATGTATTTTTTCCGCGAAAAGATAAGCAGATCAATCTGGCTCGAACCGCTTACTCAATCAGTTTCCATCCTACATTCCTCGATAAGGAAGGAAACGACGATGATATCGGTGCATCCTATTTATGATTGCTAACGCGTCGTGTTTTCGCGCACGCAGATCTCTGCCCGAAGCCGAATGTCACCAACAATCCGTTGAGCAAAAAGTCGCACGTAGAGGACTTCAGCGAGCCGGTGCCAGCACTCTTCCAGGCGCTCACCGCCGAAGAGGATCCGCTCCAGAGATGGATCCCTTTTACATACCCCGTGGATTATGATATGTCGTTGTTTCGCACAAAAGACAAGGATATGACTTATCATATGCGTGAGTATCAAGGATTAGTATAGACAGAAAAAAATTGATACAACAGCATTTTTTTCCCATGTAGCATTTATACAGAAATTACGAATATAAACGCGAAATTTAATCATTTATTTATTTACTTAATGTGTCCAAGTAACATCGACATCTGTTCTGTTTTTTCACAATTCGTATAATCGAACGATAAGACGAAACAATGAAACGAAATTAATGTAGTATAACAAAATTATTCTATCCTCGAACACAAACTCTTCGAGTTTGTGAACGACGTTGCTCAACGCCGCGGAGTGGGTCGGAAAAACAATAACGACGTACTTTGAATGCCACAGAGACTAACCTCGACGGAGAGTTGCACGCGCTGAAGCCGAACGTGATGACAGTCAACTGCACGGTCGCCTTCATGGCGCAGTGCATCTCTTGGAATAAGTGCAGCGCGTCCTGCCAAAGCATGGGCGCCACTAGCTACAGGTGGTTTCACGACGGCTGTTGCGAGTGCATAGGTGACACGTGCATCAATTACGGGATCAACGAATCGAGATGCTTTAATTGTCCCTTGAAAAAAGATGAGGACGACGACCTGAAGGATCAGTACGACGATTATGGTCAAGTAGCAGACGAGCTGGTCGAGGACGAAGTGGTTTAATCATCATCACCAGCGTTTTTCCGTTTCTTCCTGACACAGAGACAGTGTTTCGTGAGTGATTTTTGATCGTCCAATGTCGATGCGCGATATCGATGGATGTGATGTTTAATTTTAAAAAGACTAATGTTTCTGTTATTTTTTGTTATCGTGTACGAAAGTGCCTTTCAGAAGTTATCCTGAATTTTGTGCACTTGAGAGAGTTTTATTTTTCGAGTATGACGAGACAGGTGATTCTCAAGTAAAACTCACTGGTTAAACTACAGATGTACACATTCGAGAATTCTGCTTTCTGAGCTCAGAGACTCATCAATGATCGCAGAGTTGCTATGTCTGTGATCGCTTAGGAGTGATCTTGAACAGACGCTCATTCAAAAGTGAGTTTACTCTTTTTGTTGTCCACGAACGACAATCATGATTGGACAGAGTAAATCTAATTTTAAGAAAGGTCGAGAATCACGAACGTGAAAGTGTATAACTGCTAAAGAAATTTGTAATAAACTTTATCATGATATATAACTTAAATTTTAATATAACGTTAAGACGCAGCGAGGTTGCCGAACATAAATAACATTCTTCGCATTTCGTCGAGAAACGAACAATCTCCAAGCTCGACTTGGTCTCCGTATACGAGTGCAGTTGCGCAATATGTAAATGTACGTGTAACCTCTTGTTTTGTTCCCCTTTTTTCAAGAATGCACTCGAGAAACGTTAGGTTTCGAGAGTTTTGATTATCGTATCCGTGCCATAAGTAAAATTGTATATACAGTAAGTCTCTCTCTCTCTCTCTCTCTCTCTCTCGATCAAACGTCGAAGTCGTTTTACACACGTGAGACCTCCTCGTATTTCCTCGAACAGGAAGATAACAAAGTGACAGCAACATTTGTGAGTTCTCGCGATGAAATTACGCAAATGCTTGTAGATACATGTGTGTAAACGCTCACGGTAACTGTCTTCGGAAATTTATAAGCTGCATTCCGTATATCTACGACGGTATCGTAAAGTGCACGCGCACTAGCTAGCATAGCGACGTGAAATGTTTAGAGATTGCGCATGCACACGTTTTATTACCGAACAAAATACGAGAGATCGAAGAGCAACGCGTTCACAAGCGAGTCTAACAAATAAAATTACAATAAACATTCGATGACCAATTTTGAATGGCAATCGTCAAATTATACATAATTATGCGGTAATGTATAATAGATCTGTGAATCGTATATACGAATTGAGACAGCGTACAGGGCGTTCATTTTTCAGGTGCAGAATTCGAGTTTCATTCCGTAATATTTATTAGGTTGACAGAGACTACTTAAATATGATATTACGATATGCGCCCTTGAAACATGTATCGCAGACGAATGACCTTTCAGTGGACATGCATATTTTCAAAAAAAAAATATATATATAGAAATTCAAAAAGTGGGCTATTTCGAGAAGTCACAGTCTCAAAAACTCAATACCGAGATAATTTCCTAACACGCACATTTAAATCCCGAGATACAACTTTCCCGAAATATTAAAAGCATGCAATTATCTCGAAAAGTCACAATCTTGAGAACTGAATACCAGTACCAGAATACAATCTGTCGCGAAATACTGGAAGAAAATAAAGTCTCGCAAAGTTATAACTTTGCGAAACGATTCCAATATATTTTGTGAGAGATTGTCCTGGTATTCAGTTTTCGGAATTATGATTTTTCAAGATATTGCCCAACATTCCTGAAATTTCGGAATTTGGATTTTTCAGGATTATGTATACCCACTGATCTTTCGACACTCGTATTGAGTGATATTTCATTGGTTTATAGTAACGTCATAAATATTATCGGCTGGGAGCACCCTGTATGACGTCTTTTAAGTATATATATATATAATTTTTTATCGTTAGAGTTGCACAGTCAATATGCACATACCAAGCGCTGTCATACCGCGCCTATAAATATCAAACATGTACACGTCACGAATAAAATTAGTCAATTCACTAGGTGAATCAACGCGAGTCAACGAGTTGTATCATGGCGACGAGAGATTTACCTTTGGATTATCTCCGTCGCAAAATATATTCAAACATGGTTTCCCATTCGGTAACCTCTTCGCACAATATGTAGAATAAGATAAAACGTTTTAGATAAAAGTGTCATGTCTTCTTTTTATCGCGCGTGCAACACCTCCTTTCCGTGAAATCGGAAAAGATCGTCTCTTGTGCACTCAATGATCCAAAGTTAACATTTTGCCTTTGAATACATCGCGTAAAACGAGGCAAGTGGCAGACATTTAAGCGGGTGGATGCTCATCTTGTATTTCGTTGCTCTCCGGCAACTTGATGAAGGATAGATCGCCACCGCTCCACATCGAGTACAATTGTGACCTCGTGCACTCCTAAAATCATCATCGATGTTTACCCTGAGATGAGGGAGGAAAAGAACAATAACTAAAGGAGAAAGCGAGGGATGAACATCCAACAACAGCGTGGTATAACATGACGAAACAGTGCCGAGTGTGTAAAAGAATATTTAAAAGTAATCCGTATATCATCGTATTCGACTGTGTATACACACACACGCGTTTTATAAATATATCTTCTTCTCATGTTACGTTCTCACGATTTAATTTGGATATATTTTCTCAACTACAAACGTTAAACACGGTTTTTTTTTGAGGATAAATTTAAACATGGGAGGGAATAGAAAATAAAAGCCTTACTACAGCTATTAGTGTGTAACTATCACATTATAATAAACTATTATAATAAACAATTTTCCATGTTTGAATTCGTCTTCAGAAGAATCGTATTTAACATGTATAATTAATTAGAATGTTCTATTAAATTTTTTTAATACATATATATTAAATTTGTTCGCTACTCTTGATTAAAAGCCGTTAATAATATTCTGGTGTACAAACGCTTTTTCTATCCGCCATACATCGGTATCTCAGAAGAAGAAATAAAGGTCACTAATATTTAATTTTCGGGACGTAACGACAGAAAACAACCTAATCTTGTTTATTTACCCCGCCACCTGCGCTCTCTGAACCTGACCGACTGTGTGCCGAGATGCAGGAATCAGTGGACGAGCTGCTTTTGCGAGACGGCAATGTGTCCGCGGTACCTTCAAAGAGAAATAAGTTCGACCAAAGATCATCGCGCGGGCCTCTTCGTCCGAATATTCGGACGAATTCGAGCGATGGAATATTTCGAATCCATGATTAATGCGCGACTCACCAGTTTCGATCTCCCTGTGATCGCAATGCGAATGAATGCTGTCTTTACTGTCGCCGTGACTGCCGCTAGCACCGCTCTGTTCTGCAGTAACATTGTAATGGAATCGTTCATACGATCTTCTCGCGATCGGTCGAGAGTAACTTAATGTTTACGACGATTGAACCTTACCCGAGTCCCTGTGCTCGCCGCTGTGGACGCTCTGATCACTGTCACGATGCCCGGATTGATCGGAATGATCGCTAGAGTCCTGTGGCCAGCACCTGGGTGAGCCTATCCTACGTGAGCCTTGCCAAATAGCGGAGTCGTAATTCGACTCGAAGTTGCAGGTCGTCAACGTGACGCCCGGGATATGCTGACTAGTGTAAGCCGAGAGTTGGTTGGATGGTCGAACTCCTGCATAACGTACTACTTTGAATCATATACAGGAAATTAACAAAACAAACAGCTACGATTTATCCTATAAGCTCGTGTTCTCAATTTTGCAAGAAAAATTGGCAGAGATCGGGAGAAGATTCATTCTACGAGAATTCCGATTACCCGAAATCGAGTATTAATTTTCAATTATCGTAAATTCGAAATTTCGAAAAAATCAAGAATCGAGTTACAAAAATCAAATCCTTGATAATTCACTTCATAATTCACCTGTATATTATAAAAAATAATTCTTCTCTTCAATATTCTTCTCTTTATAGATCAATGTATGCTATCTGCGTGAAAAACTACCGAACCAAATTCGCCGGAAGACTCTACTGACGTTTCGCTACCTGGCTTGCAAGAGAGCAGCTGAATAGCTTCCTGAAGACCGTCCTGACTAGCCATGGTGGGCGTTTTCCACACCGAATCAGGCGTGGTTGACCTGCTGCGATCCTGCTGAGGCACTCTTAATCTCGACCTCGTGTCCTGACGCGGCCACTCTATGACGTGCCTGCAATCCCAAGGCATCGACCAACGTCTCACCGTATTCTCGCAGGACTCGCCCGACATTTCCGCCGCTGCGGTTTCCGACCATCTCCTCTGAACCTTGCGGACACAAAACCGAGCGTGACGCTTATTACTAAACAAACCGAGAGGAGCGATGCAAGTTCGAGAGCACGATAATTACCTGCAGAGGAAATAACGAATACGGCAAGGGGGACCTTTGATAATTCTGCACGGACTGCTGAGTAGATGAGGTGGACACGGGCGGTACCGGCGAGCTGTAAAGACGCTCAAAGCATTGCTGAAGAGCGGCGATATCGCAATCGCCGCTGCCGCTCTGCGAGCATGAACATTCCGCTATGCCACCTGCGTGAACCCGTGATTAGAACCGAAACACGGCTTTTTAAAATGTAATCAGCTATTAATTGGATTCTATTTTAATCGTGATCTCCTTTCGAAAGAAACCCCGGCGTTTTTAAAATTAAACTGCCCAACTTTCTCAAAAACTAAAGTATAATAAATATGACACTACAGTCCTATATTTGAATACTGTTCACATTTCGCTAATCCTATTACAACTTTAGTGAGTGAGAGAGATAGAGAGTAATTCCATTTTTGGTATTGTTTTGTAACACAGGCTTACCTAAGCACTCACAGCAAGCAACGCAGAATTGATATTGCAAGCTTATGAATGTCAAGAGATTCTCTCTGAGAATATCCTGAAAGTGCAAAGATAATTACACCAGCACACCTAAATGCAAGGAAAGCCAGCCAAATCGAAACAAGTACTAACATGTTTATCCCCGTCATTATCACGAGACTCGTGATCCCTCAGGGAAGTGATCACGTGATTCTTGACAGTATTGCTGGCTACGTGCGTGGCCCTTGTTAATTCCTCCCAACCGGCCAAACATTGGCCTGTCAAGCGACATTGTGCCACTGTGTCGTGAACCGAGAGAAGCCCTTGCAAAGACTGGGCCAATTTAGTACCAGCTGTACATAGGCCATTAAGCGTCTGTAGTACGAGAGATAATTTATTTTCCTTCATGGCAACACGCAAGTATTACCAGTGGCATACCAACCTGCAAGTACGTCAGCCAGTTACCGAGGCATTCATTTATCTCTAACTGACCCTTCGGAACCTGACCGTCAATAAACTTCGGCTCCGTTCCACCTTCAGCCATATCTGAATCCCCTTAGACTTTCGAGAACGTACACCCATTAGAACGCATCATTATCTCACGCATACACATCGCCAGCACCCAACATCGAGAAGAAATACGACACCAAATCATCAAGATTCACAGAAACGAGTTCGCGGCAAGTGGAACGACGCGATGCGATTACTCCTGAAGAAGGTAAACAGGAGGACCTAGGCTGATAAGACAAGTGAACTTCGATCAACAATGGTTAATCTCAATACTCACATCCTCCCGCTTCGATCTCTCCCATTTACCTGGGCCGTCCCGAGAAACGCGAGTCGTGGAAGCGAATTATTGAACGTCTCGCCGGGAGATCGCGATCCTCGTGTCGAAGTCGAGGCCACCGACATCGTTCCTTCATGTATTCGCCATACGAGCACCTGCAAGACGCCGGGACACTTGCGTGAGCGTCCATCCGCTTGCTGTCATCGTTCTTGACGTAACTGGAACGCGAGACGTGCCGTCCACTTGGCGTTTCGGAGTACTCTGGCAGTACATACAACTTCATTCATACACGTTTCATTGATCAAGTGGATCGCTTCTGTCGAGAAGGTTAAAATCATAGAGATATAAGAATAGAGAGAACAAGCCTGTAAATGGAAGTCATAGAGGCAAAGAGAGAGATGGATGCCGAGTGTCCTATCTGTCTCTTTCTAGTCACGCGCTGGGATTGGCTGCCGCGCCAACGACGATATAGCTATACATTTTTCTCCATCCAATTCAAAGAAACTGTCATTGCTAAAATGATCACTGCAAATATATGCTGTTTTTACTTCAAAATACAAAGGTAGTTGAAGTATATTCAACCATTTACGCCTTATATCTACATCCTTCGGTAGTCTACAACATTTACATATTTTTTTAAATGTAGGAAAAAATAACATATAATTATTTGAGGTTACGTACTTGTACTTTCTTACGAGTGAAAACTGCGGTTACATCCAGGATAAGACTCCGCCTTGCATTTCAAACAATGCCTCATTTTTAAACAAATCGCGTCCAATTATTATTTTGTTAACGTTCGAATATTTAACGAATTTTAATTCTACACATGTGCACGCATATTTACAAAACGAAATTTTAGTCTGCTTTCTCCCCTCCTGACGTCGCGTGGTCGTCTTGGTGGCTCATTGTAACAACCAATCACAGCGCTCGACTAGAAAGAGACAGATAGGACACTCGGCATCCATCTCTCTCTTGATCTCTATCACTTCCACTTACAGGTAGCATATATCCCTTGTTCCTTCTATTCTTATATCTCTATGGTTAAAATTGATACTTTGCGCCATTTCGAGTGAACTACATCCGTAGTACTACGGAATCCTGTCAGATGACGCCATTCTATTGTTTAGTCGTGAATGAACGGGCAACGAAATCACGTTACCGACTGACCGATAGGCACAATTCGATAACTGCGACGTTAATTTGCGTGATTGTTTGCAGTTTCGGGCAGAACTGTGACTCACCCTCGAACACATAATTGATATTTTTATTTCCGTTTTATTTGTCCGTTTTAATTTTTAATTTATTCTTTAATAAATTACTGTAAGTGTAAATAAATATGTATCGAATAACATGGCTTATATATTCTCACGTTTATGTTCAATTTGATAAAAGAGAAAATATAACAAAGAAACGACAAAAATAATTTCCGCCACGAGTACTCGCTATGTAATTATACTAATATATAATTAATTTATTTTTCACGGAAATAATTTATTTATTTTCACATCATAATTTATTTTTCACGGAAGAAATCGAAAGTGACTGTCAGTCCTTATTAGATATACCAAGTGAAAAATAGAAAGGCTCACATAGATCTTGAAGACAACAATTCAACGTAGTCGCTGATATTATGATATATATGAACTGTATTTTGCAGAATATACGTTTTGCACTTTCATTTGCATGTTAAATTCGCGCATGTTAAATTGTGTCCACGCGAAGATTCGACACAATGCATTCAGTTAACGTTGATTATATATAAAAGTAGAAAGGTGTAATTATGAGCAACTCTTGGATGAGTACTTGAAGGTCTCGCGGAAGAAGAGCGGACGCGGCTTCTCCGACTCGTTAATTCATTTTACGTGTTTCACTGTGCCTTCAACGACAATGCACCTAATTACCTAGTCTCAGAAAAATTATCTTTCTTGTTGAAAGCGGAAAGTGCACATTTCCTTCGTGGACATTAACATCGTTGACAGAAACGTCAGAGTCTTTTTCCAGAGCATAGCCATCTTATCTAGACCGGAAAATTTTTTCTCGCGAAATTATTTCGAATACATTTCGAAATATCTGGATTGCGACATGGAGCAAAGTGAAATTCACCTTCTCCGAAAATTTGTCGTCTCTTCCATGACTCAGATTTCCTAAACAGGTAGGACTCTATCTACGTAGACATCGCTAACCCCCCGCCCCTTCTCCCCCTGGGGGTTTCACGGGTTAACAACCTATCTCAGAGCACCGTCGTATCCTTGAGTTATGCCCGTCTCGTTCTGAAAGCGCGACATATCCACGAGTACCTGTGTACCTACGTTTCTCGAGCGATCGCGGGGACGAGGTGAGCTCCGCTGGAGGTGAAAGGGGCCCGAGCTGACGTCGGTAGGTAGATGATTGAAAAAAAAAGAAAAAACAGCGAAGGCGAGAAGGAGGTGAAGCAGGAGGGAAGGAGAAGGTGGAGGAACAGAGGGGAGAGACAACAGCGGCAGAGTGGAAACGCGATCGCGCGGAATATTGCGGTGGCAAAGTTACTTGGGGGGGGGGGGCAGGGAAAGGAAGGGAAAAGAAGGCGGGAGAGCCCAGCTGGCGCGAGTCCGAACGCTTTGAGAAGGGGACTCTTAACGGTAAAGTCGCGGGTAACCTTATAGGCGACTTCGCGACGCGAGTCCGTCGTCACTGACCACGACCGGCCGTTTCTTCTCTTTTCCCCTTTTCTTCTCTTTTTACTCTTATTTGTCGACGACGAATGGGCGATACGCAGAACGCAGCTGACGTGGGTTACTCGAGATCGACTCTAAGTCGACAGTTTAATGGATATATTGAGGGGTGTAGCGAGAATTACGCCCTTTTCCAATCGTGCACCTTGAATCGAAAGTGACGACTCACTATTTTTTGACCCTCGAGTGCCGTGATTCAACGTTCCAAGATCTCGACGGCCTCGTGTAGGGTCACTCGTGAAATGTTGCGTGCGCCCATAGCTGTTGTACAGTCGCTTCCGCTTCCTGCCGGCCAGGATAACTTACGGTGACCCGCGCGAATTAAAGTCATCGCGGGTCGCATGTTCGGCTATTGCTGTCTTAACTCTAGTATTTTAGTGCTCCAGTTCGGAAACAACCGAATTTCGGAATATGCTTCAATCACGCGACTATCCAAGTAAAAGGGAAGAACTTGCGTTCGAAAATCTGTGAGACGCCAATGTAATATGATTTTTAGACAATATACAATATATTCTGACAAACAGTCAGAAATAATTCTAGGTTCCTTTAAAAAAAAAAAAGTTTAAAAATGTAGTTTAGATATTTTATGAAATTTCTATTTTTAGATTGAATCGTAAGACTGTCTATCGACAGCTAAAGACACAACTGTGCTGGGCTTACAATTAAAGAGACTCACCCTCGCATGGGTATTATTCGCGATAAAACCGGTCCTCTTTAACGTAACCGCGAGTTTAAAAGGGGGTCGATCGGTCATAGACAGTGATTTTTCGATCTAGTCCGGTTTCGGAACGAAGCTGGTCTGGTGCTTGATCATATTTCTAGACTATCGAAGGATAATTGGAGCATAGCCAGGATCTAACATCGACTTGCTGAAGAATCTAAGAAATTTAGGAAACCCTACCAGTTCCTGCAACGAGAGAGATCATATATAAGCTAATACAATATTCATAATTCCAATTAAGGAAAATCTATTTCTCGAATTATTCGTGCGGAAAGTAAGTTATATAATATTTTTCCGTGCACACACATGCATATGTACATGAAATATATTCATAAGAATTTTTTTGTCATTTCAAAATTAGTCACTTCAAAATTATTATTAGTATTAGTATTTCAAATTTCGAACGCATGTAATTTCAAAATTAGTATTTTCTTCACGGCATTCTAAACTATAGCATGATGAGAATTATTCAATATCAAGAAGTAATGTGAAAGTTCATGTACAAACACGTGATTAAACCTCACATAAAAATGCGCAGCAATGTCGCAGCTACGTTCTCGCGATGAGGCGAGACAGGATATTACAAAACATTAGTGGGATCCATCAATATTATATTCTCGTTATCGGAACTTCGCTAGGCAACTATCCACGATGATGATATACCCTTAATACACGTTAATCAACTGATTTATCCTATTTATGACGAATCATTTGCAAGAAAATTGCCATCCTAAGTTCTTCCATGGTAATTCTATAGAATATGATTCTACAATGATCTTGCTTGTTAGCCAATAAAATTAATGATCCATTCTAACAATATGAGTATAGTGTTCCCACAAAAATATTATTGATTTAAAACAATAATATACAATATCACCAAATAATGATTATGACATCGATACTAAAAAAATCTTCAAAATATTTTTGCTGCAATTTTTCCAGATTTTTTTTTTATTTAAACAACTATATGTTAGTTACAAAAAAAAACATTTTGCTATTAAGGATAAGTTAGTAGGATGATGAAAAATTGCTCTCGACGAGGAATACTCGATGCTCGTCCACTGACATTTAGCGACGACAGGGCCGAACCGATTAAAGCCGCGAACACACGGGACCGATGGACTAGCTAATGCTGCGCTACGCGAAAACGCAGCTGAACGTCGCTGTTCGCGCGACTCGGCCGGTCGGTTCAGCTTGGCGCGGGACTTTCATCGCGTCGAGAGAGCAAAGGGGGCCTCAGGCCCGGGGCACTCGGCGGTCGACCGGTGAAGGGAACGGATCGTCGGTCTGGTCGTTGCTCGTTACCCGAGCGAACAGCGGCTAAAATGTCGTCGAGTTAGTGATTAAAGCCGCGACTCCCCCTCGTTACGGTCCACGCAAGTTCGCGTTGTCAATCCTCGAAAATTCCATCCCGAGTAAACCTCGACCATCGGACGATCTGAGGAACCGAGCAGGACACGTGATGGGGACCTCTGAGGAAACAACGAGTCTTCAACAGCGTCGAGAATAGTCCGAGGATCCGGGAAAACGAGAATAGCGGTCAAAAACCCAACTAACGCTAGATGAAGAGCGCATAAAAAAGGGCCGAAGGACTAGCCAGAATTATTTAGGAACGTCGCAAAAATTGATAGTGCGAAGGATTCGTTAAGAGCTCGCGAGGGTTAGCGTTTTGAGGGTGCGAAGGAGTAAAAGGAGGAGAACATTCGGAGAAGTTGCGGAAACGTCACGGAGGCCGTGACGGAGCGACCGTGGGGCATCGCGATATCGTTTTCGCCGGGCGGTTTCGCGTGGACGCCGGGCGTTTCGACACCGTTCTCATCGGCAAGGAAAGAAACACACACATCTCCCGTGAAAGTTTCCCCGAGTGGTGCGCGAGTGCACGGCTGAGCCCGTTAGCGGGTCCCGCGGATGTTCGCGTATCGAGCCGCCGTTGGATCGTCGGTGTGATCGCGCGCCGTCTCCCGCCGATCCGTGGAGAATGATCTTGGTGTACGGGATCATCTTGCCCCTCGTG